GAACAAAGAAAAGAAAGGGAAATCTCTCCCAGAAGCCTCAGGAGCAGCGGATTAAATCTCCACAATCAACTTGATGTACCCTGCATCTGTGGAATACGTGAATAGACAGCGAATCATCCCCAAATTGAGGCGGTGTACTTTGGGAGCAACTGTAGACTTGGGGTTTGCTTTCTGCATCTAATTGGTTTCTGGTTTTATGTTTATCTTAGTTTAGTATTTAGAGTTTATTATCATTGGTAGATGTTTATTGATTTGGTTGCTCTCTTCTTTTTAATATATTTTTTCCTTTTTCACTTTTTGTGTGTATGTGTATGCTTCTTTGTGTGATTCTGTCTGTATAGCTTTGCTTTTACCATTTGTCCTAGGGTTCTGTCTGTCCGTTTTTTTTTGTTGTTGTTGTTTTGGTTTTTTTAGTATAGTTTTTAGCGCTTGTTATCAACGGCTCCAAGGCAAATACGGCTGAGGACCAAATCACACTCTGACTGAAATGGTTGCAAAATTGCAGCACTAATTAAATTCATAACCTGGTCAGAGATATGGTAAGAGAACTGATGAAGAGCAATGGATAGGCATTTGGGTAGACACCAGTGAGGCTAAGAACATGGCCACCCCATTCGTCTGAACCTCTCTTGTCAATAACAACAATATCCCTTATCTGCTTATTTGAGGGTGTCAGACCTCCACTCCATTCAAGTTTACTCTTGATTACATCTGGAGCATTTGCCTCACAAACTGATAGCACATTTCTTCAGTGCGCTTCCCCACCACTGTCAGTGGCTCCAGGCCCATAATGAGACTTAGATCCCAACTGAACCCTGATAGAAAAAAATGCAAGCATTCCCTGCTCCTAGAGGAGATACCAATTAGTACTGTATGAATTACAAGACCTCAGTAATTACATTAGCAAGAGCCGGGAGAGAAAATGTGGGAGTCTATGATGGACCAAATGTAAGTTACATTTGGGGTGAATTCATCGTCATGGGTGCAAACATCTGGAACCTGGAGTTTAACATGTTGCTTTAAACACCTGAAAGAGCAACCTATTCTGTTAAACTGGGTAATTAAAACCTGGAATCAAACTTGACCTACTTCTAATAACATAACTTCTCGAATACCATAGAGAATAGTGTTCAGAGGTGCAGGGTGATGGAATATTGGAAAGGATTTATTATTACTCTCTTCTTCAGAGTTAAGGGATGTTTTGAAAGAGGAGCAAAGACATTCTTGAAGAGCTTTGCTGTGTCTGTTCTGTGTAGGCTAGAGATGATGGTGAAAATTGCTGCAATGGAAATGGGTTTCTTGATCTTAACGGTAATCATATAACTCAAAAGTGGCAGATGACAGATGGTGGGCATGTGTTAGAGACAAAGGGTCATAATTACTGCAATAAGTTACAGGAGGGTAGGAATTAACAGTGTTTTGTTTGATCCAGAGGAATCTGTGCCAATAACAACTTGACCACAGCTTCCTAAATATGAAACAGATGGACAAATATTTAAGTGCTTATTGATATATTTAAGTATATGTAAGAGAGCCTGGGTGATATGCTTGCCTTGCCCCTAGCTCATCTTTTTTAAAATTTAATTTAATTTAAATTTATTTTTGGCTGTGTTGGGTTTCATTGTATGTGGGCTTTCTCTAATTGCGGCTAGCAGGGGCTACTCTTCATCGCGGTGCGTCGGCTTCTCATTTCGGTGGTTTCTCTTGTTGCGGAGCATGGGCTGTAGGTGCGTGGGCTTCAGTAGTTGTGGCATGTGGGCTCAGTAGTTGCGGCACATGGGCTCAGTAGTTGCGGCACACGGGCTCAGTAGTGGTGGCTCGCAGGCTGTGGAGTGCAGGCTCAGTAGTTGCAGCACATGGGCCCTAGAGCACGTGGGCTTCAGTAGTTGTGGCACATGGGCTCAGTAGTTGTGGTGCACAGGCTTAGTTGCTCCACAGCATGTGGGATCTTCCCGGACCAGAGATTGAACCCGTGTCCCCTGCATTGGCAGGCGGATTCTTAACCACTGGGCCACCAGGGAAGCCCCACCCCTAGCTCATCTCTGACCTAGTTCCTCAGTGATTGTTGTTGCTGCTGCTGTTGCTGAGTCTGGTGGTTCTCAAGTCATACTTGTTCTTTTTTGCTATCTCATGTTGAGCTCTGCAATTACTCCCTTGCTTTGTAGGCTGGATGCCTGGTCCTTTCTGCAGCTTTCTTGCACTTTCCTATTGTAGACTGTGCATCCAGTGCTGCCCTCTGGGGAAACACATGCATTCTTGAGGTTCCTGAATCCTTAACTCCTGACCTGTTCCCTCTGTGTACTGACTTTTTAAAGACTCTTCATACACATCAAATCAGCTCTCCAAAAAGGTAGGAATTATTTACACTCCTGTTAGTGGTTATGAGTTGCCATTTTGACAGTCCTGCTAAAACTGAGCTTTAATATTTCTTTCATATGTTATTAGCCCCAAGTGTTATGTTTTTATTATTGGTGAAGATAGTATTTTCCCCCATCTTTATTGGTTATACTTTTATCATGAATTGACAGTTAATTTTTTAGACCAGTTTTCATTGATGTTCAACTTTTAATTTTTGATTTTAATAAATATCAGCCTACATTATATATTCACCTAATTAATATACCTGCATATGATATAAACGTAATATTAACTATTCTTTTTTCCACACCAATGTGAAGTGATAATTTATGACATGCTAAATTCTTACAATCATCTAGGTCTAGTTACAATCAATTCTGTCCCAGAGATGTCAATTCCTAGGTTAGTACCACACTATGTTACTAGTAGTAAGACTCCTCTTATCACCCCCTTTAATAAAAAGGTACATAGCTATTTTAACTTGTTACTTCTACAAAATAAACTTTATAATCACTTGGTGAAATAATCTTCCCAATGAAATATTTGATTCGAATGGTTTAATGTGGGGAGAGTGAACATCTCTACAATTATCTTCTCATCCAGAAATATGTTTCCATTTATTCAAGGTATTTTTTGAGGGAAGTGGGGTGTATGTAGTATATCTGAATTAACTTATTAAATTTAAGTTTTTCAATTGATTTTTTTAGGTTGTCCTAATGGTCTACCATATCATCAGCAAATGATTTTCTCCTTTCCAATTTCCATTTATTTTCCTTTCCTCATTATTCCAGCTGGCACTTTCAGAGCACTGAATAATTGTGGTGACAGGAATTTCACTTTTTGCCATTAGCTTTAGCATGAAGTCCAAACTTCTGAGGTGGCTTACAAGGCCTTTCACGATCTGGCCTTTGAGTCTCCCGCTAACTTCTCCTCTGTGTATTCCTGCTCCACTCTTTTCCAGTGCCACTTTCCAGTCAGTGAACGTGTTTCCTGATGCTATGCCCTCATCACTCTGTAGCTCTGTACTCCTTGTTTCTCCTTTTTCATCTCTTCTAACATTCCCACACTCCACCACACACAATCTAGCTAATTTTCACTTTCTTCATGTTTCAGCTTAGATACCTGCCTTTGAATGCACATGGTGAAATTCAAATGTTTATTAATAGGTTTATGGAAAAAGGCTGGAAGATGTTAACTGGCTGTAAATGTTAAGTGTACTCTAAAGGGGTTTTCTTCGAATCTAAGTATGTTTAGCTTAGTAAATAGTATATAGATCTTTTAATTTTTGGAAAGTGTAGAGATTTAGGAGTAAAAATAAGTATTTTACTTAGGCCCAAATAGCTAGCTGTTGAGAAAAAAGATAACAAATGAAAATAGTACTTTTATCTTTCAACCAGCCAAAAGAAAAGTATAGCTTATAAAAAAGATGAACTATTAGACCCAGAATGCCTAAAAGGAGAATGTCATAATCCATTATATTAAACATGTCATTGCTTTGATGAGTGACTGAACTATACACTTCAAGAATTTCCTATGTTCAGAGTGTTTTTCTCTTAGGATTCTCCACAAGTTGCCTTATGTTTATATGAATTTCCCTATCAATTATCAATACTTGTGTAGGGTTTTGTCTTAATTTAACAGCTTGTGATGTAAAGAATGAACAAATGAACATAGAATAACTTTTCACATTTATTAACTCATCATAGGGGTTCACTCCAGAATATGTTTTCTGCTTTTGGATAACGTATGAACTCTGACAAAAGTCACCATCAACATTCATTGGCAATGTCTCCAGTACGAATCTTTGGGGGCAAATTAAGATAAACATCTTGTCTCAAGAACCCTTTGGGATCCTGATGTAGCTTACAGAAAAAAGAGGCAGTTCTGGTACACAGAGTATTAGGACACTCTGTTCACCATTTAATGTTTGGGATAAATGACAGCCCAAGGCTATGGATGTCTCTCAAAACTAGATCCCAAACACTACTTCAACAAACGCAGATATTGAGAATACATGTAGATTAACAACACCTCCACCCACCATTGTAGTTGAAAACCCTCTTCCAATTCCAGTCCCCACTCCGCACCAGGACACCTAGGGATATTACAAGGTGTGAAGTAATTGGCTGTCACTGTGGTCTTCGCCATTAATTCAGAGTCAGTCCTTAGAAGTGTCCTTCTATGGATATATTCTTGTGAGTTCCTGGTTTCTTGTGACCTTCTTATAAGGACTGAAAGTTTGAGTTTTATTAGATGTCAACTCCAAGGGTATTGCTTGGCTCCTCCCTAATATCTACTTCATCAATAGATCAGGTGAATATAAGTATTCCATAGGTTCCATTTATGAACTAGGGAAAGGTGATGGTAATGGATATTGGAATAATGACAAACACTATCATGTTGATATGTTTAACTCTGAACCCTTATGACTTCATTTGAAGCCTGGAAAAGCTCCCTCAGATTTCTATCCAATAACAGATTTATCTCCATATTAATTCAGTCATATCAATTAAAGAATAATCTCCAACAAACATTTTCTTTCATTTACTATATTCACAGGATTCCTTCCAGAATAAATTCATGGACTTTGAATGAGTTCTGACTGAAGATAATCCCACATTCTTCCTGTCATAGGACTTCTCTCAAGTATGAAGTTTTTGGTGTTTAATCAGGTTTGAACTCCTGTTGAAAGTTTTCTCACATTCCTTACATTTGAATGGTTTCTCTCCTGTATGAATCACTTGATGTCGAATAAGTGAGGAACTCCGGGTGAAGGATTTTCCACAGTTAACACATTCATAGGGATTATTTGCAGAACGGAGTCTTGGATTTTTATTACTGTCTTCAGGCTGACTGAGGAGTTTTACATACTTATTGCCTTCGGAGGCCTTTGCTTCAGTGTGAATTTTTTGATGCTTAGTAAGGTTTGTACGTCGGTTGAAGAATCTTCCACATTCATTGCATTTATAGGGTTTCTCTCCTGTGTGAATGATCTGATGTCGAACAAGAGACGAACTGCGGCTGAAGGCCTTCCCACATTGATAACATTCATAGGAATTCACTGTGGCATGACTTTTTCGGTGCTGAGTATTTGTATTCAAGTTCAAGGCATTCCCACATCCGTTATATTCTGAATATTGCTTACCTACTGAGTCTAAATTAAATTCGAAGTTAGTTTTAAGCTGATCACACTTTGGGGAACCCTTTCTCATAGGAACTCCCTGTTGTGTGTCAAAAGTTGAGTTAACTGACTTAACATCAAAACTTTCCTTATTTTCACTATATTCAAAGTCTCCCTCCTCAGTGTAGACTGCATTATGAATGAAAGCTTCTTGTGGCAAATTTATGTCCCAGTGTTCCTGGTTCTTATATAACCAATCATCACTTTTCCAGGCATCTAAAGGAGGATGTCCATTTTCAGTCAGTCTTGTCATAATCACTGCATGGGATGATTCTTCTCCAGAAATTCTCTGCTTTGGAACTAAATCCTGATTTTCTGAAATTATCTCTCTGTCTAAAAATAAATTTAAAATTCCATGAACTAGAAGAAGGGAAACTGCTTAATTAGGAAACGGACACTAAGCCATATAAGGGTATATGCATATTTTATGGGTCTTTAAATACAGAATGGAAATGTGAGGCAAGGTTAGAAAACAAGGATTACAGAAGAAATAAATGGGATAAAAATATTTTTAAAAGGATCAGGAGATCATAAAATATAAGAGCTATTCAAGAATACTAAGGAGAATACACAGAACTTAGGTAAAATATCAGCATATGAACTGGGATGGCATGGCATATCACAATTCAAGCCATCACTGGTTCATAACTAGTCTGTGAAAGTTATACCTAATCTTCCTTTCTCTAGCATCCTGTCTCTTTTACCCCAAGGTGTTCCACATAATAGCCCTTCAAAAATACCAATTTAATCATTTCTTCAGGAACATGTCTAAATTTATAGGTCCCATAGCTTAACAGCTAAAAGAAAACTTGCAATCACAGTGCCCCTATTTTCCATACAGAGCAATTATTCCCTGCCTTTAACAGAGGCAGAAATAACTGTAATATATGATAGCAGGGAAACCAGTCTTATCCTGGGCTCAAAATAATCACTCCTGATTCTAACAGTGCTCAGACACGTCTATGTGTTTCCTAGAACTCAAAACTTTACCTATTCTGATTCAGATTGGGTTCTTCTGTTTTCACCTGCCTTCAGTTTCTCTATTTCATTTGATAAAGTTCCAGTTTCCTTCTCAAATTCCTTTTTCACTTAGTTTCTATATAAATATACCCACTATACTGTATATTCTAGCATTTTTTTAAAAAATTAAATTTAACTGACTTCCCTTCTTTCTCCTTTTCCACATAACATCAGATATATCTAACGATTTTATCTTCTATACTTTATTGGTAGCCAAGCAAGACCTTCAGCTTTGCAGTTTCACACAGTCACTAGAACACCTCTACTTGACCATCCCTATTCTCTTCCAAAACTCAACAAATGAGAGACTATCATCTTCCATGTGGAAAGAACTTACCTCAATGTCCTCATTTTCGTTCAGTGAGTCACTGGCCTTCTAACATTTACACTAGAGTTCATGAAGAGAACTTGAATAGCCATTGCTCTTTATCTCTCATATCTAATCTGTCCTTAGGTACTATTACTTTACTTTATAAAATGACTTTTACCTCAAAGCAGCTCTCACTGATACATCCAGCTCTGTCAAGTATATATCAATTCAGCCTTCTTTAGTCTAATCTCTACGGGAAATCATTATTTGTCTGTAAAACACCCACACTGGAAACTAGACAATTAAATCAGAATCTCCTAGGATGAAGCCTAGGAATATAATGGAAATATTGATTGTAGCTTTCCTGTCTCTACCTCACCAGTGTATATTGGATGTGTGGGGGCAGATAACTTGTCCCTTTAACTCACAGGTTTTCAGAGAGATAGGAACCTCTTCCAAACCTGGACTTAATTTACAGGATGAGTTCCTGGACTTCAAGATTGATGCCATAATGAAATGACATCTTAGGAGACAGTAAATGTAATTAACAAGGGAGAAAAATAAAGTTAATTTGTGGCCAGAGGACAGACTATAGCAGATCAGAATTGTGGCACTTTCTCTGATACTCTCCTCATAGAGAAGTGGAGTCTATTTTTCTTCCCCTGGAATCTGGGCTGATCCTGCAACTGCTTGGCCAACACAATATGATAGAAGTGATACTAGGCTATTTCTGGGCCTAGGCTTTATTTTATTAAAAAAAAAATTTTTTTTAATTAATTAATTAATTTATTTTTGGCTGCATTGGGTCTTTGTCACTGTGCTTTCTCTAGTTGCAGTGAGCGGGGGCTACTCTTCATTGTGGTGCACGGGCTTCTCGTTGCGGTGGCTTCTCTTCTTGCAGAGCATGGGCTCTAGGCACGTGGGCTTCAGTAGTTGTTGCACGTGCACTCAGTAGTTGTGGCTCACGGGCTCTAAAGTGCAGGGCTTAGTTGCTCTGCAGCATGTGGGATCTTCCCGGATCAGGGATTGAACCTGTGTCCCTTGCATTGGCAGGCGTATTCTTAACCACTGCGCCACCAGGGAAGTCCCTGGGCCTTTAAAAGACCCACAGCTTTCAATTCCTCTCAGGATGTTCCCTCTCAGAACCTTGCTGCCATGCTGTGAGAAGTCCTTGCCTCAGTAGAGGCCATGTATAGGTGTTGTGGTCCACAGGACTAGCTAAGTTCCCAGTGACAGCTAGCATCAACTTCCATCTATGTGATCATAGTTGGAATGGCCAAGTCATCTTGGCCATTCCATCCCAGTCAAGCTCCCAGAACACTGCATCCTCAGCGAACATCATATAGAATGTAAGAATTCCTAAGTCAACTCATGAAATTGTGAGAATTAATAATTGTTTTAAGTCACTAAGTTTTAGGGTAATTTGTTAGAAATAATAGATGACCAAAGCCATAATTTTGTTCTAGTGGTATTTATTAAATAGCAAAATTCCTAGTTGTATTTCCCTAAGTAAATCTATGTTCTCCTCATATTTGTACAACTCATTTTTCATGCAACTTCCTTCTATTTTTAAAATCACTCTCATGTATTTTGTTATTTTCAAGTCACTTGGTTCTAATATGTAGAAAAGCTGCTAATATTTTTATTTTATATCTGGCCACCTTAACGAAATTCTAAACAGATATAATCATTTTGATACTGAGTCTCTTGGATTTTCTAAGTAGAAAGTTATCATACACAAATAGATTTTTCTCTTTTCTATTAATTTTCTCATTTTTTTCATTTATCTTTCTTTCATTAGTTAAAACCTTCAGGTAAATATTAAATAATTATGGTAATAGGCCTAAGAATCTGTTGATTTTAGTGTTAATACCATTGTTTATCTTTACAGATAATATTAACCAATGATTTGTTCTCTTTTTGCTCTAATAGATTTCAAATCACTGGCTTATTCCTGACCACTAATTCCAAACTCATAAACTGTGCTTTATCTATAAGACTTTGTTCCTGCCTCTAACCTAAAACAAAAATAAACACTTTAAACCTTAGCCTATAATACTAATTCTGGGTCTCTGCCTACTTCTCTCCTGGAGACCAGCCCATGCCAAACCACCTCTGCCTTTCTTTGGCCTAACAATTCCCCCCAACTTCTCAAATCACCTAGTTAGTTAAACTCTCCAAAATCTGGCTTTATATTCTCTATCCAAATTTACCTTATACTGTCTCTAGTAAACTTGGATCATTGATTCTTATTCTGTATCTGAAACATTTGGTGAGCCTTAAAAGTATACATGTGTGGGGCTTCCCTGGTGGTGCAGTGGTTGAGAGTCTGCCTGCCAATGCAGGGGACACGGGTTCGTGCCCCGGTCCGGGAAGATACCACATGCCGTGGAGTGGCTGGGCCCGTGAGCCATGGCCGCTGAGCCTGTGCATCCAGAGCCTGTGCTCCACAACGGGAGAGGCCACAACAGTGAGAGGCCTGTGTACTGCAAAAAAAAAAAAAAAAAAAATATATATATATATATATATATATACACACACACACACATATACACGTGTGTGGAAAATCCTAAAGACGCTCCCAGAAAACTACTAGAGCTCATCAATGAATTCAGTAGAGTTGCAGGATACAAAATTAATACACAGAAATCTGTTGCATTTCTATACACTAACAACAAAAGATTAGAAACAGAAATTAAGGAAACAATCCCATTTACCATCATATCAAAAAGAATAAAATACCTAAGAGTAAACCTACCTAAGGAGGCAAAAAACCTGTACTCTGAAAACTATAAGATGCTGATGAAAGAAATCGAAGATGACACAAACAGATGGAAGGATATACCATGTTCTTGGATTGGAAGAATTATATTGCCAAAATGACTATACTACCTAAGGCAATCTACAGATTCAATGCAATCTCTATCAAATTACATTTTGTGTAATTGGCATTACACAAACAAACTTATGGTTACCAAAGGAGAAGGGGGAAGGGATAAATTAGGAGTTTGAGATTAATATATACACACTACTATATACATACTGTGAAAATGGCATTTTTTCACAGTAGAACAAAAAATTTTTTAATTCCTATGGAAACATAAAAGACAATCTTGAGAATAGCTGAAGCAATCTTGAGGAAGAAAAATGGAGCTGGAGGAACCAGGCTCCCTGACTTCAGACTATACTACAAAGCTACAGTGATCACAACAGTATGGTACTGGCACAAAAACAAATACAGATCAGTGAAACAGGATAGAAAGCCCAGAAATAAACCCATGCACCTACGGTCAATTAATCTACCATAAAGGAGGCAAGAATATACAGTGGAGAAAAGACAGTCTCTTCAATAAGTGGTGCCAGGAAAAATGGACAGGCTACATATAAAAGAATGAAATTAGAACATTCTCTAACCCCATATACAAAAATAAACTCAAAATGGATTAAAAACCTAAATGTAAAACCATATACTATAAAACTCCTGTAAAAACATAGGCAGAACACTCTGACATAAAATGCAGCAATATCTTTTTGGATCCATCTCCTAGAGTAATGAAAATAAAAACAAAAATAAATAAATGGGACCTAATTAAACTTAAAAGCTTTTACACAGCAAGGGAAACCATAAACAAAACAAAAAGACAACCTACAGAATGGGAAAAAATATTTGCAAATGATGCAACTGATAAGGGATTAATTTTCAAAATATACAGACAGCTCATATATCTCAATATCAAAAACACAAACAACCCAATCAAAAAATGGGCAGAAGATCTAAATAGACATTTCTCCAAAGAAGACATACAGATGCCCAAAAGGCACATGAAAAGGTGCTCAACACCCCTAATTATTAGAGAAATGCAAATCAAAACTACAATGAGGTATCACCTTAACACTGGTCAGAATGGCCATCATCAAAAATTCTATAAATAATAAATGCTGGAGAGGGTGTGGAGAAAAAGGAACCATCCTACATTGTTGGTGGGAATGTAAATTGGTACAG